AGATACTCAGGAGGCTGAGGCAGGAGAATTGCCTGAACCTAGGAGGCGGAGGTTGCGGTGAGCCGAGATTGCGCCATTGCACTCCAGCCTGGGTAACAAGAGTGAAACTCTGTCTCAAAAAAAAAAATAAAAAATAAAAAAATAAAAAATAAACAAATGCACAAATATGCACGGAGTAGAAGGAGTTACTGCTTTTTAAAAGTAGAGACATCACTAGGACCTTACTGATAAAGTAACTTTAAGAAAGTAAAGAATTAAGCTTTGTGGATATTTGAAAAGACACATGTCAAGCAGAGGTAAAAGTGAATGCCAAGGCCCTGAGGCAGGAAGGTACCTAAAATATTTGAGAAACTATAAAAAAGTAAGTATAACTGGAACAGAGAGCTACTATGGGCCAGATCACAAGATCCCTTGTGAAGACTTTGACTTTTATCCTAGTATGAGGGAAAGCCATTGGAGGTTTTTGAGCAGAGAATTACAAGATCTAATAATTTACATTTTAAAAGAATCATTTGCTTTCTATATTAAGAACAGACGCAGAAAAAGGTATTGCAGTTACCAGCATAATGCAATAACAAAAAAAAGATTACGTTGGCTTAGTTCAAGATGAGAGTGGTGAAGGTGGTAAAACGAGTTGCTTTCAGGAATTGAAAGCGTATATACAGAAGCTGGGCGTGGTGGCTCACGCTGGTAATCCCAGCACTTTGTGAGGCTGAAGCAGGCAGATCACCTGAAGTCAGAGTTCGAGACCAGCCTGACCAACATGGTGAAACCCCATCTCTACAAAAAATTTAAAAATTAGCTGGGCGTGGTGGCGGGCGCCTGTAATCCCTACTTGAGAGGCTGAGGCAAGAGAATCGATTGAACCCCGGAGACAGAGGTTGCAGTGAGCTGAGATTACGCCACTGCACTCCAGCCTGGGCGACAAGAGCGAAACTCCGTCTCAAAAAAAGAAAAAAAAAAGCTGTGAGAAGAAATTTGGTTAAAAAACTAAAATAAATAAATAAATAAATAAATAGGCATATATACTGAATACCTAAAGCCCTGTGTACTGATGCAGTCACTAAGGAAGTCATAAAATCAATCATATGAATCTTTCACTTGTAAAATGTTAGCAGACAAAAAGACATGTCTACCAAGAAAATCTTGGTATTAGGACAGCATGATGGCTCACGCCTGTAATCCCAGCATTTTGGAAGACCAAAGTGGGCAGATCACCTGAGGTTGGGAGTTCAAGACCAGCCTGACCAACATGGAGATCACCCTGCCTCTACTAAAAAAAAAAAATACAAAATTAGCTGGGCCTTGTGGTGCATGCCTGTAATCCCAGCTACCTGGGAGGCTGAGGAAGGAGAGTCACTTGAACCTGAGAGGCAGAGGTTGTGGTGAGACAAGACAGCACCACTGCACTCCAGCCCGGGCAACAAGAGCGAAACTCTGTCTCAAAAGAAAAACATATTGGTATTACACTGAATGAAGAGTCAGAAAGCCTCGGATGACGTCTCAACTGACCTTGGATAAAGATCTATCACTGCAGTCTAATTCTATCTCCTTATTTATAATAATAAAAACTGTCCTACCTGGTAAAATAATTCAGTTTGACAAGTAGCTCATATTTATTTCTTACTACCTACCAGGTCTTGTGCTAAAAACTTTACTTGTATCACCTTATTTAATCCTCATAATAGTCCTATGAGCTAGGTGTTATAATTGTTATCAACCCCATTTTACTGATGAGTAAACTGATGTTTAAAGAATTTAAATAATTTACCCAAGGTTATCCAACCAAAAAGTGGCAGACCCAGACCCAATGACTCCAAAATCCATGCACTTGACCACTGTGCAGACTCTGTAATTACCAACCGCTTCATGCAAGGCATGTATTAGGCATGATATCTAATCATACAAAACTGCTCTCCTCATCATAAACTTTCCAGCTTGACATAAGAAACACAAGAAAAATATTTAAACATTTCTTTTATTATAGTTTTATTTTACTATTAAGTAAACTGACTAGTAAATCTTTAACTTTCTGCAAACTAGCTAGAACAAAGATTTCTGGGTATTTCCAACTCAATATGTAACATTCAACCATAAGAAAATTTACCTTTCTGATCTAATGGTTTAGACTAATTTCTTCTTTGGTACAGAGCAAACATCTACAGTCTATATCTTTATTCTTCAATTAGATAATCTACGGAAACACTATGAACCAAAGGACCTGAAGATATAAAAAAAAAAACCTGGGAATATTCTTAATGAGTACCTAAATTTGGTAAAGAAAAATGTTCATTAAGAGTACAAGCTGACTGTGGTAGTGCATGTCTGTAGTCCCAGCTACTTGGGAGGCTGAGGCATAAGAATCACTTGAACCCGGGAGGCAGAGGCCAAGATCACACCACTGCACTCCAGCCTGGGAGACGGAATGAGACTCTGTCTTAAAAAAAAAAAAAAAAAAGAGTACAGTGAATTTGCCCGAGCACTGGGGCTCACGCCTATAATCTCAACACATTGGGAGGCCAAGGTAGGTGGATTACTTGAGGTCAGGAGTTTGAAGCCAGCCTGGGCAATCTTGTGAAACGCCATCTCTATAAAAAATAAAAAAATAAAAAAACTAGAAGGCATGGTGGCACATGCCTGTAGTCCCAGCTACTCGGGAGTCTAAGGTACCTGAGCCTGGGAGGTCGAGGCTGCAGTGAGCCGTGATTAGATCACTGCAATCCAGCCTGGGAAACCAGAGTGAGAGATCCTGTCTAAAAAAATTTTTAAAATAAAAAAAACAAGGCTAGGCACAATGGCTCACACCTGTAAGCACTTTGGGAGTCCGAGGCGGGCAGATCACTTGAAGTCAGGAATTCGAGACCAGACTTACCAACATGGTAAAACCTCGCCCCTAATAAAATTCAAAAATTAGCCGGGCATGGTGGTAGGCATCTGTATTCCCAGCTACTCAGGAGGCCAAGGCAGGAGAATCGCTTGAACCCAAGAGGCGGAGGATGCAGTGAGCTGACACCGTGCTACACTCCAGCCTGGACGACAGAGCAACACTCCGCCTCAAAAAAGAAAAAAGAAAAGAAAAGAGTACAATGAATTGAAAATAAGAAGTTTGGAGGGCATGAGAAATAAAGAGGTGCAGAAAGAAAAGGGATTAGAGATATCTATGTTGGTACTAGCACAGTGACTTTACATCATAACTGACTATATAAATTCAACAACAAATATGTTTTCCAATGCTTCTAAGCTTTATTTTCACCCTAGACTATTGTTTCCTACTACCAACCATCAAATACCCACCTATTCCATCCCAACTTCTTCCTTCTTTCAAGAACTGATGTTTCCTGTTTCATTCCTAGGTAAATTCCTAACCAGTTCTCTGCTTATGTTTTCACATTTCCTGGATATATGCAATTTACCTACACCATCCTTCTCATACCTAAGTGGTCAATTTCTAGCCATTCCTTGAGACTCAGCTCCAATGTCACTTTATTTTTTTTTTTTTTAAATAAAGACGGGGTTTCACCATGTTGGTCAGGCTGGTCTTGAACTCCCGACCTCAGGTGATCCGCCCGCCTTGGCCTCCAAAGTGCTTGGATTACAGGCGTGAGCCACCACACCCAGCCCAATGTCACTTTATAAAGCATTCTTCAAATTTATGCCTTTATACTCACAATTCAAGTTGGTCACTCTTTGTCTATGATCTCATTTTCAAAACATACCATTATTATCACTATTATTTGCTTATATGTTTTTCTCTAATTAGTGAACTCCTAGAAAAGCAATTGTTTTTAAAATGTCAGGTACTAGATCACGGCACATAAAAGGCACTCAATCCCAGCCTAAAGGAATGAAGAAAAAAAAAAAGGCACTCAATATTAATTTTGACAATGGACAAAATTATAACACCTAACACGCAGGGCTGTTATGAGGATTAAATAAGATAATGCAAGTAAACTTCTTGGCACAAGATCTGCTATGTACTGAATTAAAAAGAGCAGAATTAAATTATTTTACCAGGAGGTCAATCTTTATTATATTATAAATAAGGAGATAGAATCAGGTTCCAGTGATAGAGATTTATCCACGGTTAGTTGAGACGTCATCCAGAAATAACTACTCATTTCAGAGGAAAAGTGAGGACTAAGTAAAGACAGAACTAAGTAAAAGGCTAGGCGCGGTGGCTCAAGACTATAGTCCCAGCACTTTGGGAGCCAGGGTAGGTGGATCATTTGAGGTCAGGAGTTTGAGACCAGCCTGGCCAATACGGTGAAACCACTTCTCTACTAAAAACACAAAAATTAGCTGGGCATGGTGGCAGGTGCCTGTAGTCCCAACTACTTGGGAGGCTGAGACAGGAAAATTGCTTGAACCCAGGAGGTAGAGCATGCAGTGAGCTGTGATCATGCCACTGCACTCCAGCCTGGGTGACAGAGCGAGACTCCGCCTCAAAAAAAAAAAAAAAAAAAAATAATCCCCCATTTTAAGGTCTTCAAACAAAAAAAAAAAAAAAAAAAAAAAAAAAAAAAAAAAAAAAAAAAAAAAAAAAAAAAAAAAAACTACGTAAAAGAGCAAATTGCAAAAAAGACTTCCTTTCAACTAGGATCTTGTAAAACGAGCTATACAACCCAAACTCTCTCCTATGTTATGGTCCTCTACTCCTTGATATTCCTTTCTCTTTTCATGTGGGGACTACTCTGCTGTAAGTTCTATTAAGAATCCAGGATTATCTTCTTCAATCTAGATATAATTTCATTTTTCTAAACTACACAAAATCATGCCATTCTTTCCTTATTTATCAAGAATGATGGTCTATTTCCTTGTATGCATATTCACAAATAACTCAACCATCTATCTGTCAGTAGTTTGATTTGTGATTTTTTTTTTTTTTGAGATGGAATCTTGCTCTGTCGTCCAGGCTGGGAGTGCAGAGGTGCAATCTTGGCTCACTGCAACCTCTGTCTCCTGGGTTCAAGCAATTCTCCTGCCTCAGCCTCACAAGTAGCTAGGACTTACAGGTGCTAACCACCACACCTGGCTAATTTTTGTATTTTTAGTAGAGATGAGGTTTCACCAAGTTGGTCAGTCTGGTCTCAAATTTCTGACCTCAAGCGATCTGCCCGCCTCGGCCTCCCAAAATGCTGAGATTACAGGTGTGAGCCACCAGGCCCAGCTGTGATTTGTGATTCTTTCCTTCAAAACCTAGCAGTGCTTTTATTGAGGCCAAGAATGTGTATTTCTAGGTTAAGAAATTAATACACAGGAATAAGATACAATAAATATAGGAAAAGAGAAAAAGGAAGAAGTATAGTGTATTATGGCATTTGCCATTTTATTTCCACCAATCTGAATGAACTTTTAACTTCCAATGGGAAGAAACTGCCATTTTCACTAATACATCCGCAGTGCCTATCATAACACCTTGCACAAAACAAGCGCTCAGTATCTGATTAGTGACTATATCAGAGGTCAGCAAGTTTCTTCTGTAAAGGGGCTAAGTAACATTTTGGTAGACGTATTATGCTTTGGCAAAGAATAAATATTGTATGTTTTTCAAGGCATATAAGCTCTGTGGCAACTACTCAACTCAAATTTCCCATCGTAGCATGAAAGCAGCCATAGACAATATGTAAACAAACAGGCATGGCTATATTCCAATAAAATGTTTACCAAAAACAGTGGGGGGGTTAGATGTACACATCCAAAAACAAAAACAAGGGGTAGACTATAGTTTGCCAACTCCTGGGATGAATTAATTAAGTCAGACTCATAAATAATAAGTAACTGCTGAAAAAAGAGGCAAGGAAGAAAACAGAAAGAGAAAGAAGAAAGGGAGAAAAGAGGGAAGTAGGAAAGATGAATGCTACCTTTGTCTTATGAACAAAAGAAAAATAAAAAGAGCTGTACTTGGGGGAAAAAAGTTAGGAAACACACATTTCCCTCCAAATAACTAAAACAACATAGCATACTTTTTCAAGTCGAAAGATGTGATCTCTTTCTAAACGTTCTTCTGCTTGTTTCAACCCCAGCCTCTGTTCAGGTGTCAATGTAGATTCATCTATCACAGTGGCATTTTCTAAATAGTCCATCTCTGAAGAATTTTCTTTATTAGATTCATCATTCTTCATTTTACCTAGAAAAGAATGCAATCACTCAGTTATCATCATCAGAACTGGAAAATTTTTAAATTTTTAATGGAAAACAGACATTAAATTTATACACAGAAAAAATATTATTTCCTTATATTTTCCTTAGGAGAGTATACAAATTGGTATACACATATAAAATATAGGTAAAAGATATACATGGTAACAAAAGTCACAAAGAAAAACCTTCATGGGTCAACTGACTAGCTTGTTCTTCCAACCTACCCATCAAGAGATACATAACTGAGACATTACACAAAGCTAATATAAAATAATCATCCTGCAGAATCTCTGAAGTCAATCTGATAAAAAACTGGAGTCCCACTCGAAGATTAATCACTGAATTAAATTCACTAACATATATATACTCCAAACCACAAACCCACACAAGGCTCCTTCTTCTTTCCTTCCACCAAACTCAAGGATATCTCTACTACATCAATGGTTTTACTTTGCTTCTCTGCCTCCTAACTAGATTGTAATCTGAGGCATAGACTATGTTTTCACCTTTGCATCTGCAGCATCTAGCAATATGTACCTAGCCTAGAGTAGGTTCCCCCACCAGTACGATTTTTTAAATATAAACCAAATCATGTTATTATCTTGCTTAAAACACATAAAAGGCTTTTGAAGAGTTCAGAATAAAATTTAAACTCCTTAGCGTATTACACACAGTCCCTCGCCCTCATGAAGGCAATAAACACAATAATTATAAATTGTAATAAATGTTACAAAGAAAAAAAGCAAGGAACTGAGAGGGAGACCAACTTTAGATATGGGAGCCAGAGAAGGCTTCTCTGAGTAAGTATCATTTAAACCAAAACCTAAAGAAAAAAATCTAGCTAACTTGCCTGTAACTCTAATCTCAGATCTTGCCACAACACTTTTCACTTCGTATTAAATGTGCTAGAATGAACCACCAAAGCTGCTTCAAGTCTCAGTGTATTTACATATGCTATTCCCTTCTCCATTGATGCCTCCCCAATTAAATTAATAATATTTACCTGTCCTTCAAATTTTAGCTTAAGCACCACTTGTTTCATAAGCCACTCTGACATCCTCTTATTCTATTACCCTCTATTATCTCACATTTACAGAGTAATGGAATTTATATTCATCTATCTATCTCCTACATTAAAAGATGGATTCCTTGATGCTAATGACTGGGTCTTACTTTTACCTTCAGATTTTCATATAATGCCTAGACCAGAGCTAACACTCTATGTCATGTTGAATAACTGAATCTGAATGTATCTAAAAGCATTTCCAAAAAGAAATATTCATAGATCAACAGATCTCTCCATTCTGTCCTCAAAAGCCAACTGCATGCCCTGTAGAGGAACCCTGACAGCCTATCTTTTTTTTTTTTTTTTTTTTGAGACAGTCTTGCTCTGTTGCCAGGCTGGAGTGAAGTGGTGTGATCTCAGCTTATTACAACCTCTGCGTCCTGGGTTTAAGCGATTCTCCTGCCTCAGCCTCCAGAGTAGCTGGGACTAAAGGGGCCCGCCACCATGCCCAGCTAATTTTTGTATTTTTAATAGAGAAGGGGCTTTTACCATGTTGGCCAAGATGGTCTCAATCTCTTGGCCTCATGATCCGCCCACCTTGGCCTCCCAAAGTGCTAGGATTACAGGCATGAACTGCCGCGCAGGGCCCAAGATACCTTTCAATAGCACTCACTTTCTGAACAAAGAAATGGTATGCTTCCAGAGATGGTGCATTTCCTACCACAAGAGTACAGGAGTTTCTAGAATAGGAAGGCAAACTCAGATAAGGATGTTATAAAAGGACTCAAATACCAGAAGTATGGCTAGGTTACACAAGTGTTTCTTAAATTACAGTTGAAGGAACGCTGATGCACCATAAGGAATTTGCAATTATGTCCTAATATTTGGAAAAATGATTCAGTTTTGTAGAAACCATTTTATTATGAAAATGTAAGAAAAGATGAAATTCTAGTATTATCTCTACTTTTCATGAAAAAGGGTAACAGGAAGACAATATAATAATATAACCTTCTCTTTTCTATATGTATAACTGGCATTGTATGACAAGGCAACCAACATCAGCAAATCTTATAAAACTATTGTTTCTGCTAATATAAAGAATTAGAGAAAGCTACATATCTTCTTTAAAAGTCAGAAATAAAATTATTTAATTTTCTAGAATCAACATATAAAATAAAATAGTATGAGGCAGAATATCCTAAATTGTGTTGCAAAGACACTAGTTCATTACATGTTAATACTCTCACAAAACAAGAATTGAAAACCTGTATCCACACAAAAACTTGCACATGAATGTTCAGAGAATATTCACCATAGCCAAAAATGGAAACAAACCAAAAATTCATTATTGATGAATGGGTAAACAAAATGTGGTATATGTATATAATGGAATATTATTCATAGCTCAGGCTGCCACAACAAAATACTACAGACTGGATAGCTTGAACAACAGAAATTTATTTTCTCACAATTCTGGAGACTGAAAAGTCCAAGATCAAGGTTCCAGCAGGGTCACTGTCTGGTGAAGGCTCTCTCCTCGGGCTGCAAATAGCTACTTTCTTGCTGTTTGTTCACATGGCCTTTTCTTATAGGACAGAGGTTCTCTCTTCTTTTTAGAAGGCCAGATTAGGACATCACCCTATGACCTCATTTAACCTTAACTGCCACCTAAAAGTCCTGTTTCCAAATACAATTACTTTGGAGGTTAGGGCTTCAACATACGAATTTGTGAGGGAACATAATCCAGTCCATAGCAACAGCCTTAAAAAGGAATGAAGTACTGATACATGCTACAACATGGATAAACCTTAAAAACATGACACTAAATGAAAGCCACAGAAGACCACGTATTTATTATATGACTTCATTTCTATGAAATATTTAGAATAGGCAAATACACAGAAATAGAAAGTGTATTAGTCGCCAGAGACTGGGCAAAGTGGGGAATGCGAAGTAACACTTAATGAACATGGGGTTTCCTTTTGGGATGATGAAAAAGTTCTGAAATTAGATGGTAGTAATCATTGTACAACACTGTGAATGTCCTTAGTTCCACTGAACTGTAAACTTTAAAATGGTTAAGATCGTAAATCTTACATGTATTTATCACCAAAAAAAACTAAATATGCAGTTAGCATACAACATAGCAATTCCACTTCTAAATATATATCCAGAAAAAATGAAAACACACATCCACACAACTTTTACATAAATGTTCAGAGCAGCATTATTCAGAATAATCAAAAGATGGAAACAATCCAAATGTCTATTAACTGATGAAAGGACAAAATGTAATATATCCATATAATGGAATATTATTTGGCAATAAAAGGGAATGATGTACCAATACATGCAACAACATGAATTAACCTTGAAAAAAATATGCTAAGCCAAATAAGCCAGGCACAACAGGCCACATGTTGTATTATTTCATTTATATAAAATTGATACAACTACAGAGAAAGAAAATAGATGCATAGTTGTCAGTGGGGAGGAGGAGGAGGTAATGCATAGTGACTGCTAATGGGTATGGAGTTTCTTTGTGGAGTCATGAAAATGTTCAGAATTAGATAGCGATGGCAGCACAACTTTGTGAATACACTAAAAATTACAGAATACTTAGATTTTTCAAATAAAAAAATAGACTCAACAGCTCGACAGAATTATATACTTTAAAAGGATGAATTTTATGACACACAAATCCCAACTACTTGGGAGGCTGAGGCAGGAGAACTGCCTAAACCCAGAAGGTGGAGGCTGCAGTGAGCTGAGATCATGGCACTGCACTCCAGCATGGGTGTCAGAATTGAGACCTTATCTCAAAAA